CTCTGCTATTCAGGAGTATTCCTGCCATACACTTACCATGCTACACTCTTGCTGAAACATTTAAAAGTTACGCGTCGAAAAATGCCTTGGCCCCCGATAAGGTTGATGGTTCTGGACATCCCTGACTTGCCGCACAGCTCTATTCTATCGTTTAATTCCGAAAACCTAACGTTCTGGCAGTAGGATCCTACTAAGGACAGATTTAACGTATATCTCATTGGAGCAGCCATTTAAAATCATTTTAACATCCATTGAAGCAAGCAAAATAGATTAGCTAACCCACTGAGCGAAAAAGACTTTACGTGATTCCCATAGCCAGTAAAAGTCAATTAAACATTAATTTTTGTTAAACGTCAATAGTTTTTCTTTCAAGTTTTGTTAATATTAAAAATGTGGTAGTATTAGGAGCAGCGCTCGCAAAGCGGCGCAAGAATGGGCTCAGTATCAAAGGTATTGCTTCTATCACTAGCTGAAGATTCGCGACGGCGTATGCGCTTCACACCCTACATAGCATATCTTTAACCATTCTACAGTCACACATTTAAAATACCCAGTAAATTTATAAAAGTTTTACACTATTGTCATCGACAAAATTTTATGCCATAAACGGCTGAAAATTCGCTGCTCAGTGAAGAAAGGCGAATATTTTCACATTGCATGAAGAAAATTTAGAGAAATTGATCCAATCTCGGTATTAAAAATTAAAAAATTGATCGCCACTAATGTAGTGTGGACATAAAACAAACAATATATGTTAGTCCTGTATTGCCCGAGCCATTTTTCTATAACGATTTAGCCTATCCGCAGCGCGGTTGGCAACCGCCCGTTATCGTTTTGGAGATTTCTAAAAGATTTCAGCCAGCATTGCACAGCAGGACCCACAATAACACCAAAATATATACATAATTATCTTTTTAATTAGAAAACTAAGCGCCAAAACATCCCCCCAACTCACGCTAGGCAACAAATCAAAGACAATATGTAAAAATTAAAATGTTGGCCCACGTTAACACCCAACTTAATTCAGGGGCGGGCTTCTAGTTTGAAAAAAATGCGCGGACTTTTTTTTCCATTTTCAATTTCTCCTTTCTCTGCGCTGTTTAGATCTGCCATGTTTAGCATCAGGAATCGATACAACGGTCGCAGACATTTTATCTGTTGGTGTCGTTCCCTTGCAGAATCATTATGAAATTGATTAAGACTGATTTAATTTTGCAAATGTTTTGTCAGAATTCGTTTTTACATCCCAAAATCATAACATGGCAAAGGCGAATCCAGCCGATCATTTTAGGGGGGATCGTAGATTTTTGTTAAATAATCATCATATTTATTAGATTGTATATTCTTTTTGTAATGCATATATAATTGCATACAATATTATTACATACAATATTATTGTTTAAACAATTACATAATTTTAACATAAATATTTAAATTAATTTTGCGAAATAAAGAAAGGTAACAAACGAAAACTCTAGGTCTTTTGGGGAGGCCATGGCCCCCCATGCCCCCCCCTGAATCCGCCACTGTAACATGACACTCTGGAGGATCTCCCACCTTTTAAAAACCCACCGACCCGAACCGGGATCGACATTCAGCAGTCCTCTCGTGCCTGCTAACTCGAAGGCAATATGCTACCCCAATACCGTGGGTTTCCAATTAAATATCACTAAAAAGTAAAATGGCGTTGTTTGAACGTGGAACACCGGTTAGACCGCTCAATCAACTTTAGACGTTTTTGAGATTGGTAGATTATGACTTCGCTTAGGATTTCATTATTTCATTTTGGTGGTCGGCTATCAATATGTGGTGATAGTCATAGGCGAAGCAATTCAAAGTTCGACTGTTCTACTGAGAGTAAGCAACCTGTTGGCCATTAATCTAGAGACGATGTTTCTGCTAGGAACAATTCTCGTAAAGTTGTTGAGTTAGTTAAATAGGCGGCAGTCGTCTGTCCTATATATTCTGCTATTGCCAATTCTAGCATTTTGCATAATTTCCGTGTGGCCCATCCGAACTTGTTTGGAAGTGTTACCTGATAGTGTCGCTGAGGGCATTCCCGGACGCGTTCAGGTTGCGGCTGTGAGATTGCGGCTACCGCAGCGCCCTTCCACTGGTTCCGCTTCCGCTACGCCACGCCGTCAGCGCCGCGACGCCAGTACAGTACAGTGGCGATGGTTCTCCGCGCCAACGATTTGTTCTCCCGCTCTACCATCTACCAACATTCGCCGATTGAGAAATGCGTGTATCAGCAGGGGCGCCTAAAAAAATCCAGGCAATTGATTCTCGGGAACCCCGTATTTCGTACAAAAATTTCCTCCTCCCCAATTCATAAACAGAATTCACTTCTCTACGCGTCAGATATGACTGAAATTTGGTTTAGATATTTTTTTTTCATTTCTCTTGAATGAAAAAAATCGGGGGGCCATATTAAGCAAGTTGTCCCAGCTGCCCCCCTCGCTCTGGACACCCCTGTGTATCAATGTAATCATTACTGCAAACTTATTTTCTCGTTCTTACTGGCTCGGATTTCGGATTCTGTCCTAGGGGCATTAATTGAAAAGGCTGAAGGTGGGTTTCGAGGGGACCTCGCCACTAGTGGATTTCATGTTACTTGTCGCCTCGTCTTTTGGGTATCATGGTGAATAATAAATTGTCTTCTATCTCTACCTGGGAATTGGGAGAAACCTGGAAAAAGTAAACACGGGGTGGAGACTGCAGAATTTGGAAGAGATCCGCCTAAACAAATGATCTCCCGAAGGTGCCTTGAACAAAAGGAACTTCGCGGCCATCTCTATTACAGTGTCAGTGCAGCCAATGATGACTGTGGGACAGATTTGTATGATTCAGTATGAGTGTTTTCACATCTCTACGCGCGGCGGGCTCGCGAATTGCATCGGCGGAGTGGGCGGGGAGACTGGTAGGTATAGAAGAATCTGCCTAAGGAGGAGCCAAAATTACAGTTCGCTAAACAAGTGAACATCAGATTAGAAAGTGATGTAATTAATGTAATTGAATTAATGTAATTCAGAGACGTGTCCCTCCTCCGCGACAGCTGTTCAGCCACGCCTCTTCGTAAAGTTTTTATGTTTATTTACGGCGCCCGATAAGACGTCATGTCTTCTTGTGGTTCACGACCGGGTAATTATATAAAAAAATTAATTGATAAAACACAAACTACGGAACGCTCTCTATCACAGCTTGCCACCTTACAGCACAGGAGCAGGAAATACGTGCACCAGTTCGCATCTGGCATTCAAGTCTAGGTTCGCAAATAAACATAATCCTTATCACACCGAAAGTAAATTCAATGTAATGTTTATAAAAAAT